CATAAACCCACCAATTACAGGCAAGTGGCAGATGACAGGCACACAAATCCAGTAGTTGCACACAGTGAGAGGCAGGTGTATCTTAACTTGTCTTCATCGGCTCATAACTCTGGATGTGAGTCTTGTATGATCTTGTGATGAGATTCGTTATACGTTGAAGTTGTACAGAAGTGTAGCAGCCAGTGACATAGGAAACATTGCATGAGTCGATGGAAGATTTCACTAAATAGCAAATTCTTGAAGCAAATGTGACACCCAAGAAACTGAAGCTGAAAAGAGTCTGGCTTCTACAAAAGGACAGTGATTGAAACAATATATCAAAATCCACCATGAACTACTTCAAGAAACACAAGCTGGAATGGCTCTCGCAGGCCCTTGACTTGAAGATCATTGAAAAATTTGTAGGTGGATCTTACCCACATGCAAGACAGCTCAAGAACATCACAGAACTATGTGAATGTGAAATTTTCCGTGACAAGACTGGAAAGGCTCCTAGCTGGCTGCAAAAAGTGTTTGTAAGCTATGATATCTGCCAGAAGGGGTTACTAAGTATTGACATTGGGCGTCCAAACTTTTGACCTGGTTCTGGTCAGAGCTGGCCCCATGGCTTTATGACTTCATGGACTTTATGGAAAATAACCTGAAACATCCCTACCATGCACACAAGTGTTTCCCGGCTGTAACACCGAATTCAACTGAGGAAGGACTTATTAGTTGCTTGATTAGTGGATTCATGTGTAGTGGAACAGGAAGAACTCTCAAATGTGCATGAGCAGAAAAAGGACTGAGAAACACTGATATTGCTGCAGCACTGAGAGAGAGAGAGAGAGAGAGAGTGCGAGAGCAAGAGAGAGAGCGCTTTATATACAGCCCGTACCCAGCAGGTTCACCCTGGGCATTCCCTTCACTTAGAGAATGTGTGCACATGCAAGCAAGAGTATGTGTGCATGTTCTTGTATACGTCTGTTAGAGCTAAGCCAAAACACACTCTCCCATCCCCAGCCAACTCATTAAAACAGGCCAATTCTTGCTTGTGTGTGTGTGTGTGTGTGAGTGTCCCACTGAGAGAGATTTGAATCTTGCTCATTCACTAATATACTTCTGAATGTGTGTATGTACATTGCGGTCTATAAGTAATTGGACAGTAACATGATTTTTGTTCTTGTGATGCTATATTCCAGGAATAGAATGGAGTAGAAATAAACGGCTGTAATACTGACATGCAGATAATGAGCTTCGATTTGTGGGTATTTATATCTGTACACAGTGAATCATAAAGACTCCACAGTCCTTTCTATACGTAGTCCCACTGTTCCATAGGAGTAATTCAGCAAGTTAAGATGATTTTAAATGATTTGTCATGTTATCTTACAAATAAAAAATCCTTTGTAATCAAAAACTGTCCAGAATATGGACCTATAGACATCAGTTAATGCTGGGTTCTGTCACATTTGTAATTCAGTTACAATTTGTGCTTGTTTTGGGAGCTTTTTGCCTTCAGAAAGTAAAATGCATACTCAGCAGGGTTCGGGTCCAACGATTGGCTGGCCAGAAAACGGTGTACTTTTAAACAGCTTTAAATTAACTGCTGTAATTGCTGACGTTTTTATTCCTATATCGTTTTATTTCAAATCCAACGTACTGCGCCAAATCAACCCAAATGGTCACAGTTACTTACAGACTGCACTTTAAGTGTGTACAGGCCTCAGCACCCCCCATGCACCTCTTGCTGTGTGTGCTAGCTATATCATTTACATCAGCCTTTGTAACTGTCTGTGTAAATTAAAAGCCTTCAATTGTTGTATCTCTAGCATCACCCTGGATCTGCTCTCTCCGTTCAGAATGTGACTCAGTCACTCATCATCATGCTTTCTCTCACGTGCAGCAGCTGCTGCGTGCTGGCTGTGGGGCAGGGGAGCTGGAGAGGGCAGAGGGTCAGGTGTTTGAGACACACTTGTAGACTGCTGGGTTCAGAGATATCACAAGTGGCCCCTATTTCGCTCTCTGCCATTTGACAGTGTTAGAAATGCTGCCAGCACAGAGACACAGAATGTTGCCTGACCAGTGATGCCAACTGTGATGTCCTGATGCCAAACACATGCGCACACACAGGTTTTTGTTTTTTACACAACCTCAGGACATGGGGTTGTTCCTGTCATATATGTTTTATTTGTATATGTATAATATACATGAAAGTATTGATATGTCACATATAGTTGCTGTCCAAAGCAAAACTGTTAAAAAAACATATGTATATATATGTATATATGTGTGTGTGTGCGTGTGTGTGTGTGTATGTGTATGTATATCAGGACTTCGACAGTGCCAGCTGCTGTTTATAATATATTAAAATTTTATAATGAATTAATAACAAACAATAATAGTAATAATATAATAATAAAAATGTTTTAGATACTTTTTTTTTAAGTCCTAACTTTTGTTCCTAGTTAAGATTGTCTTTTTTACTTCTCCTGTAGAGTTACTATTTTGTAGATACAAGGTGCTTGTCGAAACAACAGCTGCATATAATAAATAATTACATATTTATTATTTATTACACAACCCTAACTATAATCTACGTACATTTTTTTGCTCTTTCGGTTTCAAAAAAAGAAATATTGATCTTGTAAAAATAGCACTTTACATTATCAGCACTGTTTTGTTGGCCCTGATGTTGTGTGTTAGCCCTGTTTTCTTGCGTTTATACAAACCACTTTATACAAAATGTGCTACATCAATCGCAGCAACACAGACATGCGTTCACATATATGCGTATTCAGACATGCATGCACAATGATTTGGTCTCAGGTGTGCTTCTCTTTTGTATGCCATGTGTTTGTTTCTGTCTCCCTCCACCCCCTGCACAGTCTCTCTCTCTCTCTCTCTCTCTCTCTCTCTCTCTCTCTCTCTCTTCCTCTCTCTCTCGTTCTCCTTCGTCAGGGTGCAGGCAGAAAACAGGGCTGTTAATAAATAAACCCATTACCACATGAAAGCCAACATCTGGCCGGGGTGGAGGCAGCTTTGGTGTGATTGCGGCCAGCCTATGTGTATGGATCTGTGTGTGTGTGCCTGTGTGCGTGTGTGTGCATGTGCGTGGGTGAGTGAGAGAGTCCTCAGCGCTCAGGCTACGAACATTTCCTGCTCTTTTTCAGTGATCAGAGCTTCAGTGCTGTTAGGCTGTTTCTACCAGTCAGAGAACCACCGTGCACTGTCCTGTGAAATCACGTTCTGTAAAACACGGCACAGCATTTCTTTCTCTCTTTCTCTCTCTCTCGTTCATTTATCTTTGTCTGTCTCTCTTATTACATATTTCATTCTCTTTTCCTTGCTTCTTTCTCCCCTTGACATGCTTTCTCACTCTCTCTTTCTCTCTCACACACTCTCTACTGTTCTCTTCCCCCCTCTCTGAGGCAGATGTTATCTGGTTGATGGGGTGAAGGGGTCGTGTGATAGAGGAAAGCGGTCTGTTCTGAATGAAGGACTGTGAAGAGGGGGAGCCTGGTCTGTCTCACACGTACATGGTCCTGCATATATTGCTCACCATCTCGGTGTGTCAGAGTAAAATATTTGTTCATTGTACTTCTCTGAGTGCATGTTTATGGGAAAAAGTAGCTGTGCATGTGAAAAAGAGAGTGTGTTTAGAGAGCATAAGGAGAGAGTGAGGGATTTGTTGCTTTTCTCTTTGAGTGCACCCTGTGGATCATGGCAATGCATTAATCTAGATTACTCTTCAGTTAAAGGTCCTTCATCAGAACTGCGGACACACTGACACACAGCAGCCATCTCTCTCTCTCTCTCTCTCTCTCTCTCTCTCTCTCTTTTTCTCTCTCTCTCTCTCTCTCTCTCTTTCTCTCTCTCTCATATGCATATATATATATATATATATATGCATATGAGAGAGAGAGAAAGAGAGAGAGAGAGAGATATATATATATATATCATGTGTAGGTATCCAGAGTCCTTTATAATTAGTTAAATCAACGATGTTCTCAGTAGAAATCTCCATTGAAAGGCATCACCAATAGAATGGGATGCCCTGGAGCAGCTGCATGAATCTAAGGTCACCATGCCCCATGTGAAGTGTTAGCTAGAGGCCTATAAAGCACACTAGCATTGGACTGTGGAGCAGTGGAGCTGTATATCTGAAATGAGGGAGCACTATCCACCACCTTTGGAATGAGTTAGGGTGGCGCTTATCATGCAGTCTAATGATCCTGTGGCTGAATGCAGTCAAATCCTCACAGCAATATTCCAAACTCTTGTGTAAAGCCTTCCCAGATGAGTAGAGGCTGTTACTGCAGTGAAAGGAGGAACAAACTCTTTATTAATATGCTTGATTTCCAAAAAACAAAACAAAAAAACTTTCCCTCCCAATACATCTTGATTCCCTATGCTTCCTTTTTGAGTTGTCTTTCTTGTCACTCACTTTAATTCAATCCCAAGCTATACCTTCTAAGAAGAAACAGCATTGCTGTGAATATGTGCGTGAACTGAATTTGAATGAATGTGTCGTATTGAGTGCAATACAAAACTGCGGTACTTTAGTGCACTCAGTATATTGATGGTACTGCCCAGGTCTGCTATGACACTGAGACAAACAGATGTCTGCTCAGTCTCATCATGCTTTCTCCTATTAACGCAGTGGTGATGGTCACGTCTGTGCTGGGTCACATCTTTGATGGCCAGTCACGTTCGGTCTGTGAGGCACTTTTTTCCTCCTCACGCTCTCTGCAACCTCCAGCAAATTAAACACTTGCCTTGCGTCACTGAAATTCCTTTCCGTGAAAGTGTCTGTGTTCAAGTGTGCTGTGCTGCAGCAGTAATGAGGATTCACCGGCAGAAACACCTGGCTGCACATCAATCCTAGAGAATTTGACTCCTCAGCCTGCTCTGTCTGCTCACTGCTGTCTGTGGCCTCAGAGGAGAGCAAAGGAAAAGATGGAAGAGGACTGAAGGGTAGAAGACGGAGGGAGATGAGTAAAGCATAATGTGTCACTCACCTCCAGATGCAGGTCACTGATGAAGCTGAGACAGAGCCTGCTGCTCTGGCCACTGCATGTCCTCTCTCTTCTTTCCTCTCTCACACTTTCGCTCTTTCAGTGCAGCAGGGCTCCGACGGGTGGAAGACAGCAGAGGAGAGAGGGCAGATGAAGGAATGAGAGAGGAGGAAGAGGACCTGCCATGCTGGAAGTTGCTCCACAGACGTAAACAGATCGTTAGTCACTTCCACTCGGCCGTTACACATCCACAGAGAGACTCCCAATAGCGTCCGAGTCCAAGCTGCTACGCTGCTATGCTGCCATTTCTACATGACCCGTACTCTTGCGCACGCTCGCTTACATACACACATACACGCACACACACACTCTCACTCGCACACGCTTGCAGACGGACGGAAGAACGCCAGCTCTCAGCAATGACATTCGCTCCTGCGCTGGAGATTCATTCTGTGACTGCAGCTCCACTCTGTCTGAGAGGCTGAGTGTGTGTGTGAGAGAGAGACAGAGAGAGAGGGGGAGGAGGGGGAGGAATGTGTGTAAGAGAGTGGGAGGGACGTGTGGGGATCTTTGTCAGGAAAGTCCATCTCTTTGTGGCTGGCTAACTTATCATAGCCTTCATAAGAAAACCTCCTATATAGCTTTATAGGAAAAGGAAAAAGACCTTAACAGTGGTTTACATCTGTTGACCCCTTAAATGACCAGAACCTGTTGGCGGGTCTGAACATTTATTGCTGACCTAATAACTCAGTCAGCCAGTTTCCAGTGTAATTCAAACCGTTACTGAATAGTAAGCTTTAGGCTGTAACATGCTTGAGATTTTAGTCTGTTAATACAGCCAAAGGAGTTACAAGAGTATTTTTTTGTTTTTTTTTCTGTTGTCATAAAAATGTTCATGCAACATCTGGCATCAGGGCATCTGGCACTTTTCAAATAGTGTAAAAAAAAATAAAAAAAAAGCAACAGAAATGGAATTTAGTTTTCTTATTGCAGCAGTGTCATGTGTGGCATTCTGCAGAATCCCATCAGATGTCGCTGATGTATCTACAGTCATTTGCAAAGTTTACATTTTAGTGCACTGTTTCTGTTTAATTGCTGAGTGTAACATATTGGAAAAACATGTAAAGTATAAAATGTACACAGGTCACGTTTTATAGTTTTCTCTCTCCCCCAGTATTAAATTCAGCCAAGAAACAGTAATTGTGCATTGAAATGTATAGAAGTGTAGAGGCTGTGTTTTACAGCTAAACATGTAACTTGACCAGTGGTGCCCAAACTTCTGCAAGATACTAATATGCTAAAATGTGTCAAAAAGGAGTCTTTACAATATTTTGATATTTTTGTAATTTGTTTTATTAATATGTATATGTAAACATATGTAGGGCAAAGCATCAATTACAAGTCTAGCCTTTCAGCATCCAAATTATTGCTTTTCTTATGCTTTCACCAAGAAAATGATCAATATACATTAATAATTTCAATAAAGTGTACAAGTGTAAATTGCTAAATATTTGTGAGGAAGAGGTGACCTGTGCGTGTATTTTTGTGTATTTGCAAATGTGTGTATGTGTACATGTACATCGATCATCAGCTGATGCCTCACAGCACGGTATAAAACCATATTGGGGAACATCACAAATCAGATATGCCAGGTAGTCAAACATTTTCACTCATGTTAAGGTGATCGCCGTTGCCAATGTAAACTAACTGCATTGAAATTGCCATTAAAAAAACTTTTTTTCTACTTGTCCAAATAATGAAAATTAGAGAGTGAAGCAAATAATGAGAGTGACTGTGCAGTGCCTACAAAGAAAGGAGTTTGTCTGCCGCAGATTGACCTAACATAGATGACTGACTTCCTACACAATATGAAAAACTGTAGAAAAAAATATTGTTTCCAGGCTGTTTCCCCTATTCTGTTTTCTACAGTCTAAAATTCACAATTCAGAAAAATAATTTTATCGTACAAGCAGATTGTTTTTCATGTCATTTGGAGCAGACAATCAGTGTAGCCAAAATGTTTACCACTGTATGAGAGTGTTGGCGAGAACGAACTTGATATCATTAAAAGCAAGGAAAGAAGAGTGCAACAAAATGCGCACTCCTACATAGAGCTGTACACTACTCTATGCCCTGTACGTCACAGCCTGCAAAACAGCTGTGCCCCAAATGCCTTATAACTGAACCAAATCTGAACATCCATGACCAAATTTGCATTCTGACTCACGCAGCAAGATATTTTAATTCCATATATAAATATCAACACAAATAACCAAATATTAACCTTGTCTGAACAACTGAGTTATGCAGTGATGTAGTTATCAGAAAAGTAAAGAGGCTTTCTTTTCTGTGCAAGGAAGCCGAGGTCTGAAAGATCTACCGTTAAGTCTGGAAAGGTATGGAAATTTGAGATGGAGCAGAAACCCTGAGTTGAGATAATAGCACATTGGTATTATTTATTACAACTTTTAGAAGTATTCATCTATCAGTGAAATTTATGTGGGACAAAATATGTTGCAAAACTTTATAGTAATAGATGTTGAAATCTTTTAAATTGTGCTCTACTGTCTTCTAATAAAATAGAACCTTGATGGAATGCAGTTGAATCTTCAAACCAAATTTTCTATTTTGACGTTTTAGAGTTAATAGACTTTAAAATGTCGTAACTTGGTTCCTGATGGAGGTATCTGGAAAAAATGACCTTTTAGAGGGTTTCTGCAGGCCATCACACCTGTATGTGCAACACCTCTGCTTATCTTCTTGACAGAAATGTGAACTCTCCTGTTTCCTCTTCTGTTTCTACATGCTTTTACCACTTACATAAAAGTCAACATGTAATCACTGTAAACCGCACTAAAATTTCAGAGGTTAATATTACCATTTCAGATTTTAATTATCATTAAACCTGTATTTGATTACCGTGCTTTAAAAAACCCACGTTAAATACTGTCCAGCATCACCCAAAGTTAGCAACAGTCTCCCGGACACAGGTCCGCATGCACAGCATGGAACGTGAGTTTGTTTTGTGTCAGTGAAAGCATGGCGAAAGCCAGTGACAGTGCTTCGGTGATTTTTCAGTCTTCTAAGAGAACTGAGTCTGAGTCTATTTTGGTTTTTATAAGAGTGTAGAGAGAAACTTGATTGAATACGGTAACCCTGTCTGCAGAACATGCAGAAAGAAAATTAAAAAAGAAAAAATCGTGGCAACACTTCAAATTTTATGATTCATCTTGTGACTTCCACTCGCTATTTTAGCGAATGTGTTGTGACAAATTGCACTTCCTTGTCGAAATTTCCTACCGTAGCGCATATTTATAGGTAGCTCTATACGTAACACTCCAGGGAGGATATTTTGATAGCTTAAATCACCTTAATCAAAAAAGCGTACCAGCATTAAAACTACAAAGCTTCTTATTTGCCGCCTTTTTGTTTGAATTTCCAGTGCAGCAGTTATTATAACACTTCAGACGCTGGAATGTAACAGCTACACCTTTTAAGGTGTAACGGGGTAATTCTGAACACTTCAGCAGCCTCATGTTAAAACTGCAGGTAGGATAGTTTGGTAGGCTAAATGTTCTTTTTAGAAAAACTAATTAGGATATTTTGATAGCCTAAATCAGAATTGTTATTTCAGTGTTTATGCAAACAAAAAGGACAGTGCTGCTAATTTTATTTGGGGTTTTTAGTATGATTTCAGTTTGTGCATCAGTAGTTTTTGAGCATTTTCAGCACACTTTAACAATACTGCAATAATACTTTTAACCGTGATAATTTTGCGTGATATTAGATTTTTTTACTTTTTTATCTCTGATCAGTGTACAGAATTAACAAAACCTCTTCAGCTGCTTAAATTGAGGTTATCAGAGCACAGACAGAAATAATTGGAAGTGTGGTGAGACCTTGAATGAAGACTCTGTCTACAGTCGTGATGTCAACACTAGTGAGGTAGAAGGAGGTTCTGCTGTCAGCATCCTGCCAGCAAGCTGCTTCTTTTCAGCAGCAACAAATTAGATTCCATCTTGTTTTAACAGACACTTCATGCCTGAATTATACGCACTTAGTTTTAATGTGTTTAACATGCCTGTTGTTTACTTGGCTATAGTATGACACTGTTAGCTCCACAGCTAGTGTACCAAATAGCATGCTTTGTTGAAAAATAATTTGTACCTTAGTTTTCAGATGTTCGTAGCCACAGGTTCATAAGGCGTAGCGCGGTAAGTTCCCCCTAAGTTGTGATTAACAGTAGATTTCCTTAGAACTTCTCAAGTTTTGGAAAAATTGTTTGACGCTCATTAGCTTCCTTTTTCAACATTAGTGTAGCTTTCTGATGTGTTGAAGTTATTGCTTTGTCCTCATATACATTGGAAAAGAAGAAGCTCATTAACCTTGCTGCATCTTCAGATGCTTTTTATGCAGTATCGACTCCGACTCCAGCTCTGGCTCTTATTCACTTATGACCCTGACCTGGCAAATTGTCACAATGCTTCTCGGCCCTAGTTTAGCATGCATGTTTTAAAAGGTAATCTCAGTCTCTTCACCAGTGCTCTTTCTGTTTTTTCCCCTCTCTCATCCCTTCTCTCCCTCGCTCCCTCTCTCCACCCATCTGCTTTTGCTGAAAAGTTCCTGAAAAAATACAAGATATGAAACTCTAGCAGGTTATACACACAGCATATTTTTAGCAGTCTTAACCAACAAGGTGTTGCAGTTGGCGATGACTGTAACAAAAGCCATTTTACATTCATGATACCCTTAAAAAAAAGTGAGGTTTAAGTGTGTTATTTTCGCATTTTTGATGTGTAAATTTGTTTACACAAGCAATACTGGGCAATATTTTTTTGGACATCATGCCTGCTGAAACAGAATGAAAGTTGAGTGTTAATGTTGTGTAAGTGACTATGTAATGAAATATGTAGTAAAGTAATAGCACTGGAATAGTAGCAAAACTAAAACAATGTCTACTTCTAAGAGTACTTTAACACTGTAAGACTTAATGAAATCTATGTGCAAAGTATTTGTTACTATAATAGTAGAAATAATGTTATAGATCTTTTTTAGTGTTCACTAAATGCATAATGCGAGAGAGTTTACGCTGTAATTTTTGTTTATTCATAAATATTTACTAATTTCAGCTAATATTGCAATAGAGCACCATTGACACCAATTTCGCCTTTTTTGTGTGCATGTTGTGTGAGCGTGTGTGAGGAAGAGAGAGAGAGAGTGAAGTTTGTCATTTTGTCATGCCAATATTCATTGCCAAGTGATGTTACTGAAGACAGCACACACACACACACACCCCCCTGCTGTGCTGGCGTGTTGTGTGTGGTCTGTCAGTCTCCCTCCACAGTGTCATCATGGCCGGTCTTCAACGCTGTCACCAATCTCCCAGAGCTGTCACTAGACTCGGCTCAAGACAAGCTATAGCCAGTTTTTGCATTTCGTTCGTCTTCCTTCATCTTCTTTTTGTGTGT